AATATGCAAGAGTAAATCTGTGAGGTTTTCTTCTCTTCTTTTTGTCATTGCACACGGGTGCTGCTTGCTCCCAGCGGAGTCACCTGCCTGGTGCAGACGGGCAGAGCCTCGCAGTCTGCTGCAGCGCGGGGGAAGCATTTCACCTTCTCCTTCCTCTGATTTAATACAGAATATTGTGCAATTAAGGCAGTCAAAAGGCCATCAGTCTTCTGGGCTGAATCCTGACCGAGGCTGTGCGCTTCAGGCCAGGCGGCAGCGATCTTTAATCCTTTGCAGAGAGCTAACTGAAATGCCGATGAGAGGAATTTTTTTCCCCACCCTCTTCCCCTTCCTTTAAAAGAAATGCTTGCACTGAAATTGGAGCTTACTGGAAAGGAGTAAATCAGTGAATAAAACAGCAGTCAGCCGCAGGCTCAACTCACCTGTTTTGCCTAAATTTTAAATTTAACCTCCTGGTTTTCTTTATTACAGTATTACCAGCAAGTGAGAACAAATCCCTGCAGAGTAGATAATTATTTGCCTGATTTCCATTTTTTATTTAAGAAGCGAACGCTGCCCGGTTGCAGGGGACCGGTTGGTGAGTCCCCTTTGTGCTGCTCTTTGGGATGGCCGTGGGTCAACCATAGCCCTGGGCAGAGCTGTACATGGGGTGACCCTATGGCTGTGTCATCCCCACTCTCCATAACGTATAGGTCTGCCCATGCCCATCCTCATAAACCAACTCCTGCCAGTGAGCGCATCCCACTCTTCCAGGCTGTGAATCACCCGGGAACACTCCAGCTTTCGCATAGCTGAGCTCTGCGTGTCCTCGTCAGGACCCCATAGCATCCGTACCATCCCTGCATCCTGTCAGTCCCTGCCTGATGCACATAGAGCCTCACTGGGGCTGCAAGGAGTGACGGGTGCTTTGTCCTGGGCGTCTGCTTCTGTTTTTCACTGCCTGTTGAAACCCTCTATTTTTTCCCCGAAGCCAGTGATAAGCGTTTGACTGATTGCCCGGAGCAGGCAGGGATGAGCCATTCAGTCCGGATTGACACCTTAAAGGGCTTTGCATTAAGTGCTTCCAACAAGCTGGGCTATTTTTTTTTCTCTCTTTATTTGAAAACCATCATCATCTATTTAACAAATTCGTGCATGAAATTATGTCCCTAATAGCTGGCAATTACCTGCCTGTGCATGGGATCAGGACTTTCCTGAGTATCCACATCTGCCTCTGGCAAAATTTAGCCCTGATGCTCCTGCAAGCGCTGGTCTGGGGTTTTTTGGGTGCAGGTGCCATGTTTGATGTCCCCCCTGGGAGATGCGCTGGGAAGACAAGGATAAAAAATGAGGTGGTTTTGGGCCGTGCAGGGGGTTGGGGGGCAGCAAGAGGTAACAGAGCAGGCTGAGAGATGCTGGGGTGGCTCTTCATGGTCCAGGAGCAGTTTGGCGGCTCACAAAGTGGGAAGAGCTCTAAATTGGGGATTTCAGATAGGAATTGGGAAACTGAGGGCTGTGTGGGGCAAGGTCTGGCCCCGTCTCACTGGTGGGGAGCCCAGCACCCCTGTAGAGAGGGTGCTTGGTGCCTGCAGAGCCCCTGGGGCTGCTTCTGTAGTCACCTCAGGTTGTCTCCTAGATTTTGGGGAGCTTCAAGCCTAGAGAAGGACCATGCATGGTTCTTTTGGCTCCCCACAAACCCTTTAAAGCCAAAATCCAAAATCACTGGTATAATAACCTCCCTTTTCCCCCTGCCTGGCACTTGCGGCCTCTCCCGACAGAGGCTGGAGGCTCATTTGGGGAGCTGCCCAGCTGTGACGGGTGGTAAATGGTCCTTACTGGGGCAGGGAGGTATTGGCACCATCTCAGTCACCCCCTCTGCAGCTTTTGCAGAGCTGTGTGGTGCTTTTCCCTTCTCCATTGGTATTTCTGTATAATCACCAGAATGTTTTAGGGGGCCACTCGCCTTTTTCTGCTCCCTCCGCCCCACCCCCAGCAAAGCAGCTGAGAACTTGCCAGCTTCTGGAGTGGTCTGAAATGGGGTTTAATGGGGGGATTAGTGCAGCCAAGACTCCGAGCACCAAAGCAGGGCTGGCCAGTTGTGCACTGCACTTCACTGATTCCTCTTGATCTGGCTGGGGTTTGATTGCCTGAGATCCCAGCAGTGAGATCCAACCTGGTCCCCACCCAAGAGGAGGGGGTCTGCTGCTGTCTGGGGGCTTTACCCCTATGGAAAATTGAATTAATCTGATGTTGTTGTTGTTATTATTTTATTTTTTATTATTATTATTATTACTAAAAAATCCCCTATTTTGCTTCTGCTGTCCTCACTGGGTTTGGAAGCATAGCAAGGGAGTGTTGCCCAGCGGAGCCTGGCACAGAGGGGGGACTCCTCCTGCCCTTGGAGTTTGGGGTCTGGGGGGCTCTGGGCTGTGCTGGAGGGTTTATACTGGGAGGACCACGATGCATTTCCAGCACATGGTTTTTTTCCCTGCTTATGCGATGCTGGCTTGGATAAATGAGGGAATACAGAAATGTTGGGTGAAGATGGGTGAAACTGCTCCCGGGAATTGAGAGTTGAGGCCGGCAGTGGTGAGGGGGCCAAGGGGAACCGTCCCAGTCTCACTCCAGGATGCTGCAGTGTGAACAGGCAGATGTAGGAGGCCCATGAGGAGTGGGCTGTGACCCCCTGCCCATGGCAGCATGTTCCCTGAGTGGTGCCCATGGCTGGCCTCATCCTGCACACCTGCTCTGAGGACTGTGCAACAGGGGCAGGATTTGACCCTCTTTTGACTCAGCTGGGTGCTGTGGGCTCTGTGGTTGCATCCTGTCCTGGTGGTGCCCCCATGGAGGGGCAAGCCACCACCTCAGCCTTAACAGGCACTGTTCGAGCAGGACTCAAAGCTTGAGAAGCACCAAGTGCTTGCACACACCCAGGGAAGAGAAGGTGCTAATCTTCCCTCAGTCCCCCAGCACCCCAGGGGCACCTCAGGGGGCATCCCTAACAGCTGGGACACTGTTGTCCCCAGTGCAGGGGTGCTTGCAGCAGGATGCCCTGTCCCTGTCACCCGCCTGCAGCAGACTTGCTAGGGGTGAGGATGCTTCTGCTGCAGCATCCTGCTCCTCTCTTTGGTGGCTTTGCTCCCTGTTCCCCTCTTCTGGGACAGGAAAAGGGGTCGAGGCCATGATGATACAGCCCTTGTTGGTCACTCAGTTGGATGTTTGTGTCTATTTATTAATTTATTTGGTTTTTTTTCCTGGAGAAACAGGGAGAGAGAAAAATCTCTCTCTGTCCAAAATCACTCATCTTTCCTAATAATGAGAGCTGTCACCAGCCCTGCTTGGCGAGGAAATGATGCTCGCAGTAAATATTTGGTCTGGAACTGATTTATGGGTGGAAAAAAATGAGATTAGTGGCTAATCACTGCGTTGCAGGAAGTGCTTTCGATCAAGTGTGAGGGCCGAGCTCTCAGGGAGCTGGGGCCATGCCCACACTGGGGGCTTTGGTGGAGATGCTGAGGTTGTGCTGTTGGGTTGGGTTGGGATTGAGCATCAACGACTTCTCCTTGCCTTGGTGCTTTGCAGATTTGCTTTAAGGACTGGGGCTTTAGGGTCAGGGGCAGCTCAGGACCCTGGCAGGGCATCACCCCCATGGGTGCCAAGCCAGGAGCACCCAACAAGGTCGTTCCAGCCACTCTTGAAGCAGCCACAGTTTTTCCTGTGCGAGGAAACAATTAGCTTATTAAAGGGCGGTTTAATTTTCTTCTGCTAATGTGGGCTGGCAAGCACAGCACAGTCATTTCCTACCCACTGGCACGGCCAGATGCCCCCTGGGCACTGCCGGGACCTGAGGTGGGGGGGCAATGGCCCTGGGGACTGCGGGCAGGAGCGAGTGTCTGAGCTTGGGCAGGTCTCCGATTGAAGTTACTGGAGTGGTGGCAGCAGAGAAGGACCCAGTGGTTGTAAATCAACGTGTTGGTGTGTGCAGGAAAGGGGCCGCTGGACACAAAGAAAGTTTTGAGACTAAGCGGCACCTGGGTTTGCCTAATTTTAACAATATCCCCAGGAATCGAAGGCAGCAGGTTGAATTGGAGGCTGTGACTTGGTTGTGTGTCAATGCCAGCTGCGTCACCTGTGAGAAAATCCTCTCCGGCCGCTCCTGAGCTGAGTTGCTGGGAGGGAAGGAGGTGATGCCCAGGAGCTATCGCACTGCTCGCCCTGTGCTCACATCAGGGTCTCTGCCCCAGATCCTCCACTCTAGCCCAGCCCTTGGCTGTGCTCAGTTCCCCTGCTTGGGCCCTAAAATGAATGTAGGTGATGTTAAATGGCGCTAAAATTGGAGCAGGGGCTGAGTGCTGGTGAGGAGGATCTGAGGCCAGTGCCGCTGCAATGCACAGACAGCAGCATCTCTTGGCCCTAGTAGCACATCTTGAGCTTAGCAGCATCTCTCAAGCTTAGCAGCACTGCGAGTGCCTAAATCCATTTAAGTTGCTGTAGCAAGCAATCTGAATCCGCTCCATAATTCCTCCATGCCTCAGTGTGTGTGGTGTTTTGGGCTGTGGATGAGCTCTCTGTGTTGGTTCCCATGGGAAGCAAGCCTTGTCCTGGGCAGGCAGCCTCTGAGCCGGTATAATTTGGACCACAGCAGCACGTCCAGCCCTTTTGTCCCCAAATGGTACAACTTGACTACCTGAGGTCTTGTGCAAAGACATTTGAGGACTCAGACATTCAAGCATGCCTTTTAACCGCCCTTGGTTTGGGGCACTGAGGGATGATGAGCTCTCAAATGCAACAGGTTCCTTCATGAAAATTGCCTTTTTTGATATAGGGGAGGGATTGAATATTCTTGTAGGGATACAGGTCTAATTATCACTTAAGCTCGTGAGGCAGCGCAGCATCTCCCCGCATGAGCAGGTACCCCATGGGTGCCACTGTTCCCTCGGTGCCTCACCTATGAGTAAATTCCCTCTCTGTTCCTTGTCCTTCACTTTTCTCTCCTTTTTTTTCTTCCTTCTTCCTTCCAGAGTCAAGAAAAAGACCAAGCCCTTGAACCTCAAGATCCACAACAGCGTGGGCAGCTGTGAGAACATCCCTGCACAACGCTCCCCGCTCCTCTCCGAGCGCTCCCTGCGCTCCTTCTTCGTGGGGTACCCGCCTTTCCTCCCCTCCACCCCACCGGTCCACACCGAAGCCACCTTCTCAGCCAGTGAGTCCCAGTTACCCTTGCTGTGCGGTGGGTGATGGTTGATGCCAAGCAGAGGATGTGGTGGTGAGGAGCTCAGGGTGATGGTCTGGAGGACGTTGGTTGAGAGTTGCATGGCGAGCACAGCCCTCGTGTAGGTGCCTCGCATCAGTGTTTAGGGATATGTGAGTGCTCCTGGGCAAATATAAGCCTGGAAATTTGAACATATATATATGAAACCACTGTCATATTGAATATTGATTTATGCAAAGAGGTGTGCTCTTGTGTACTGCAAGAACATGGGTGCAGGCGGGTGGCTGCTGTCATCTGGAAAAGCCATGAGCCTTTCCATGCCACCTAGGCTGGTGGCACAGGCCGGCTGTCACTTGGAAGTGTCTTTTTGGGTTTTTCTGGTCATCCTTACTGCTTGGCTGTGGGTTATCAGAGAGGGTTTGCAGGCAGCACCCCTTCCTGCCCATCCAACCCCCCCGCACCCACAGGTTTTCCCCCTCTCGACACATCTCACCGGGTGGGAAGCGGCACTGGGACGGCTTTACTGGCCACCCTGAGCACCAGTTTGCAGGCACTGGATGCTGGTGTGATGGGGCAGTTCCTTTGCCCTGCTTTCATTCCTCCTAGCCATCTGCGAGGCAAAAACTCATGATTCCTTTATTTATTTATTTTATACACCAAACAGCTGCTGTTTAGGATTTTTGAAGGGTCTTCGAGCTATTTCTGCCATCCTTTTGCTTCCCTTTCTTTGGCTTTGGGGCCAGTGGGACCTGGCAGGAGCTCTGCGGTCAGGCAACATTATTTCTAGTGATATCCAGTGACCCAACTCTTGCCAGTACAACCAGCAGCTTTCCCTGAAGCGAGGGGTATTTTTATATCCTGCTCCCCCTGCGGCGTCACCTGAGTTCAACTTTCAGCCTGGAATGATGGGGATTAGCAGACCAGAAACTGAGAAATAAACCCCATTCTCGGTGAACCCCCGCCGTGTCTCGTTGCATTTAGGTCTCCTCACGCCTCGGCATTGGATTACAGCCCGTGGTATGATGGCCTGATGCGATGTGGCAATGCAGGACCATGATGCGATGAGAAGTGATGGGCTATCAAATGACTAACGCTGCTGGAGAGGTGTCTCTTCTCGTTTCCTTTGGCCCTCCGGCTTTCTTGCCTTCCGTGAACCTTTGTTTTCTGGTCTAGATGTGAGCTGTGGGCAGAGGGGCTTGACTGCACCAGCCTGGTTGATCCCTGTTGAGAGGTTTTAGCATCAGCTAAACCATTTGGTCCTGCAGGATCAGTATCTATGCACTGAGCAACCCTTGCTTCTGGGGACCTGCGAGGAAAATTTGATGCAGGGAAAAAAAGACTCCTGCTAGATGATAGTTTTTCTAGCTCTCTTGTGTTTCTGCATAATTTCTGTACTGGTGGCCTCATCCTCGAGCTGTGTCCTGGGTTTCTGCCTCTGCCTTCCACATTTGCTTTCTGGTTTGTGACCCAGTGGGAAAAACGGCCACATCCTGCGTGCAGCAGCTGGGAGTTGAGTTGGGAGGGAGATGGGATTTAATGGAGCTTGATGCCAGGGTTCGTTACCTTGCCAGGAGAAGATGAGTTATGCCAAGTGGTGTGGGGGTGGTTGTGTTTGTGAGGAGGAGCAGATATCTCTGCAGCTTTCCCCATGCCCCACGTTGCCGTTACAGGACCTGGGTGGCTCCCCCCAGCTCAGGCATACAATGCTTTGCATGTCCTTGGGTCCCCTGCTCTCTTAGAATGGTTTTGGTTGGAAAAGACCTTCAAGATTGTCAGGTCCTCTTCTCACTGCTGTTCTCGCTGGTCCAAAGCACCAGGGCTTGTACCAGGTTGTGCTCCGTGAGGCTCACCATGAGTGTGAGCCAGTACATTGTGCTCACCCCCCATCCCAAGGACCTCCCTGTCCCCATCCTTGGGACACAGACATGGTTTGGTCACCCAAGCTCTTCCCAATATCCCATCCCTATGACCATGGGCTTTTATAAAGCTCCAGCAGGCAAATGCCTTTTCTCTTTTTCTCCCGTGAGATCAGCATGGCAGCACCTGATGCACTCAGGATTGATGAGGAATTCCTTCCCTAAGTACCAAAACCGAAAAATGTTGTTTTTGTCAGATTGAGATGCAGGAGAGGAGCCCGGCGAGCCCTTGGCGAGACCCCTCTCTCCCCAGCTGTCTCTCGATCTGATCTCTTTTCAACAGCCAGCACATCTTGCTGCTTGTGGCAGGAGCATGCTCCCATCTGAATCATCTCTGGTCCTGCTCAGATGCGGGTTTGGATGCTTCTCTCTTATTTTTAATGACTGATTTGCCCTGATAGGAGTGGATTTTCACAGACGTGGAGCAAGAGCACAAGGGCTGACAGCAGACGCTTTCTCCTGCAGCCCAAATCTTGCTGGAGGGGTGAAGTCCTCTTCAGACAGGGCCAGGATCCCCACAAATTTTGGTTTTGAATTGGCTTTTCCTTAGCAGCTCTTGGAGGTGAAGCAGAAAGGGGGGAAGTAAAGACTTTTGGGGTGCCCTTGAAATCTAGCTTAGCTCTGGAATAGACCAGCCCTGTGTCTGAGGGACAGAAGACAGGTCCTTCCAGTACCTGCTCTTGGTGCATCTGGTCACTCCTGGTGAATGAGTGACCACCAGAGGTGTGTTGTTACTTTGCGACAGGATTTAGGACCCAACGCTCTGTGACTTGGCTACAAGCACCCAGAAATCAGGTTGGATCTTCTCCTTTTTATTGTAAAGGCTTATGTCTGGTAGGTCCTGTTTGCATCTCCATTATCTGGGTGACCTGGAGGCAGCTGGCATTGCTCCCGGGCTGTGCCTTCTGCCTGTCCTCTCTCTGCTGTCACTGTGTGCATCCAGATCAGGTCACCTGCTTGATGGTCTCCAGGATGGCCCAGCAACGTCGTTTCTGCCCTGGACTATTTAAAACAAAAGGAGGTGGAAGGAAGGACAGAAAAGGCTGCGTGTGTCTTTGCTGTGCTAGGACAGAAAAACGAGCACCCAGGCACGTGGCTGTGGAGGAGCGTCCTCACCACTGCCCCTCCTCCAGTGTCCAACACTGCAGAAGGGAAGGAGCACCCAATGCAACCCAACCCAAGACCTTGTGTGTACTAGGAGAGAAAACCCATCATCTGTCCCCAGTGGCCCATAAACTGAAGCTGTGTGTGAGGCTTCTTCACACAGGGACATTGCTCAACACCTTCCTGCAGCACACAGTTGATAGGGTCTTTCTGTGGCCTGGGAGCAAGACAAGAGCCACGGAGCATCCCTTGGTACATGGAGTTAGGAGCAGTGACCCCTGAAAGCCTTTGTCTTGTTCCTGGAGAGCCGATTGTGGCTGTTTTAATGTGGTCTCCAGTGATGTCCACCTCCCATCTCCTCATCACCTGTTGCCTTTGGTGCTGCTCTGGCCATGTCCCTCGTGGGTCACATCTCCTGGATCCTGGTCCTGGCGCTTGCTCTTGGCTCTGTGACCGAATACTCTGCGGTTTGCTTCTGCTGTGGTAGGCTGTGCCTACCGGGGGCTTGGGCGGTCAACCAGTGGTGGCCAAGCAAGCAGCAAGTCCTGAGATACCACCAGAGCTCCTTGTGCTTCCTTGAACCCTGGTGACCTGCAAAAGAGCCCTCAGAAGAGCTGGTGTTGGGTAGACGTGGCTGGCAGAGAAGGATTCAAGAAAATGTCTAGTGAATCAAGCCCTGCACTGGGAATCCAGAAGCCCTAGATCCGGCTGTTCTGCTGGAAAGGGCCAGACAGGACTTCAGAACACGATGCTGGTGTTGGGGGTGCCAGTGGCACATGCATTAGAAGCTGTGCCATTCAGTCCATGGCTCCTCTCTGCAGGCATCCCATCCCTGATGCTAAGGTGAGAATATACTTCTCCTTGATGCTGTCCCAACCCAAACCGCCTTCAGCAGGGGACTTCCCAAGCAGGACATAATTTCTTTGTGACCATCAGTGGTTTTCTCCTCCCTGAGCCTGCCTTGCTGCCGGTACCAGCCATGGTACGAGCACTCCATGGCCATGTTGGCAGCCTGGCTGGGAGCTTCCCACAGCCCACATCTGGCTGCCTTACCATCGGGCTGCTCCAGCCGGCAGCACGGCACTGGAAGGATCCCTACCCTGGCAGCAGAGCCGAAGAATACGGCTTTGTCTGGGTAAGCCTAATTGACCCTGCCGGGCTGCGAATTAAGGGGGGGGGTGGAAATCACAATGCGAGTATTTAAGCCGGCAAAGCGACTGAACATGACATTTCGGCTGTATAAATAGGATTGTCATGCTGCAAAGAGGAACTGCCGGGATTATCAAGTGACTCTGTTTTCTTATTAGAGAGATGCTCTGAGAATCGCTCTGCTATCCTCGGCTGCTTCGGATGATCCCTCGGCAAGGGCTGGGGTTTGATTTCGACCCTTCAACCGTTGATTTCAACGCACTGGATCATGTGTCTGTCCACAATGGGGCCACTGTGGGGACGTTGCTGGGTTTGGACTGGGCTATGTACATTTGCCCCCTGCACTGATGGAGAGGGCAGGTCGATCCCCATTTTAGCTTGAAACCTGCATGGATTTTATATCCGAGTGTCGCTGCAGCAGCTGAGCTCTTTGGGGATCTCTCTCAACCTGTTTTGGCCCTTAAACGGGGCAGAGCGAGGGCTGAGGTGTCTCGTGGAGGGAGTTTGCACCCTTGGGTGCACCCTTTGTCAGGTTATGGTTGGATTTTATGATCTTAGAGGTCTTCTCCAACCAAATGATTCTATGATGTGGTCCCTGGGCTGTGACTTCTGCCTGGGGATGAGGTGACAGAGACACACCCGATGCTGGACCTGTTGTGGTTGTCTTCCAGGTGGTTGTTGAACTGTTTTGGGAGGAGGGTGCACCCCAATGTCTCCCCACAATCTCTCCAGGGAACTCAACTGCCCTGGGGCTGGTGCTGGAAATGTTTTGGTGTCTGCCTGGAGTAGATGGGGTCTGAAGGATGTCTACAGACAAGTGCAAAGTCTCCTGGCCGTTACTTGGCTTAGTGGTGATTCATCCCGGGATGCTTTCCAAGTTCACTTCCATCGGTTTTATCCATTCCATTCATAATGTGAACGCCGCCCAACACTGTTTGTTGTAGTAGGAGAAGGAGGGCTTGTTTATCGGGCTGTCACCATGATGGATAACGTGTTCACACCAATTCCCTGGGCATCCAGAAAGGTGCCAGGAGATGATGAAGGGGAATAGTGTGCCAAAACATGGTCCCCGTCGGTGCAGTTCGGCACAGCTGCCAGCCCCAGGTGATGCTTCTGGCATATTCAGTGAGGGTGTTGGGGCTTGTAGAGGGCATCGCTGCCCCCCCTAGTCTGCCCCAGGGAGGGTGGAAACCCAAAATAAACAAAACAGAGGAGCTCTGGCTGCTCTTCTCCATGCAGGAGATGCCCAGGCATCT